TCTACCTATATGCCATGTATTGTTTTTACATTTTTATTACAGTGTAAGTCTTATATTTTGTGTGTGGGTGTGTATGTACTGCAACTTGAGTGTGGAAATCAGAACAACTTGTGGGAGGGAACACTGTTCCTATGTTTGTGGATCCTAGAGATAGCACTCAATTCGTCAGCTTCCTAAATCACCAGCCCCTAATGTGTTTTTCTTTTTTTATATAGATTAATTCCTTTAATGATATATTTTAAGGTTTTTTAAAAATCTGCTTATAAAGACAATTGACTAGTTTTATTTTCATGATTTTTTGGCTTTGTTTCCTTCATAAATGTTCATTTATGAATGTTTGAAAATGTTCCTCATTCCTTAGTCAGTAACTTTTCCTTCTGTCATATTGAGGTATTTTGCATTTTTTGTATAATTCATGTTATTAGTTGTCAATCTTATTGCCATAAAGATTTTCATAATAATATTATTTTAATGCCTGGGATATCTACTGATATATCTTCCTTCATTCCTGATATTAGCTTACCTTTTATCTTTGTTTTCTGATAATGCAAAATTCCTGTCACACATCTTCATATGCTCACCCTTCTCTACTTGGGTTTCCAGTTATACATGTACACAATGTCTGTGTTCACTTGTTGATCAATGAAGTGCTGATCTCTGAATTTCCACCAGTTTTCCCCTTGACTTGGTTGTATTTGTTTGTTTCTGTCTTGCCAGATACAGTGTGCGTTCTCCTTTGCCTTGTCCTTTTATTTACTGTTGTGTTCCCATTTTCAATACTGTATGTTTCTCTTTGGGTCCTTACGATTATGTCTTCCGTGTTTCATTTGTCTACTTGAATATAATTATGATACCCTACTCTTACTGTTCCCATTTTCATTGTCCTAGTCATTGCTTCATCTCTTTGTTTTTATATAATGCATGTTTTTGTTAAATTCTTTTTAAATATTGAAATTTATTTTGTTAGAAAGTTAAATTTTAAAAAAGTTAATTTTTTTTCAGGTGAACTTGATTATGTTGATCTTTTCTTCTTTAAGCTGTATTAGAGTAAATATAAAGAGACAGTTAAGAAAAACTGGAGAGCAAATATTGCAGATTCGTAGGCTAGGATTCTGCCACTGCATTCTTTCAGAGCCAATAAATGAATGAATAAGCATAGCTGTGCTCTAGTAAAACTTAAATACAGAGAAGTAGGGCAGTTCCTTGAGCTTGCTTTCTTTATGCTGCCTGCTGTTCAAAACTTTAAACATTGGGAACTCTGGGATTTAATAATGTGCATTAACAGTTTTGCTTTTTAAAAATTATATTTCTGACACTGTATAGTTTCACCATATAAAAGTACAGTTTATTATTCAGACCCAGAATCAAGGGGAACTGAGCCCTAGGCAAGTTACTGAAGCATTGCTTCTTTATATTTTGCATACAAATTCTAGTCCATCAGTGCATCCTATCCTCCCAGTACTCTGGACATCATTCTTTGCCTTCTCAATTCAGCGAGCCCGCATCTTCTGCTTAGACTCCCCTTTCCTACTTTATGGTCCATAAATTGGCTCTAAGCAGAAAGCTCTAGGGTGGTTAGGAGAGTCACAGCATTGACTTCTTTTCTCAGGGATTGAGAATGCTATACTGTCTGTACTCCAATGGTGCCATATGTGTTTTGTTCACTCTCCTAGTTGTTCATAGTCAGAGAACAAATCCCACTTGTTTACTGTGTCCTGGCCAGAAATAATATTTCTATTTATGCATATTTTATTTGTGTGTCCCTATAAAATACATTTTATAATATATTCACATTTCAAATATATCTCTCAAGTAATAAATCTCAAACTTAAACTAAGCAAATACTTATTCTTTGTCAGGTTAGTCAGAACTTTAACATACTGCTTTTGCTAAACACTGTTATAGAGAAAATACTGTGCTGGTATTATGACAAATTTTGGTATATGTGATTTCTATTTTTATAAAAAGTCCTGCTATGTTTTTTGTTGTAAATAGGAGTGGCAGGCTACATTCCCGGCACCTGGCCGCCCACATGGCTAGCTTATGCCCAGAAATAATTACACGGAAACTTTATTCTTTTAAACACTGCCTGGCCCATAAGTTCCAGCCTCTTATTGGCTAGCTCTTACATATTAATCTAACCCATTTGTAATAATCTGTGTAGCCCACGAGGTGGCTTACCAGGGAGGATCTTAACCTGGGTCTGTCTGGAGTGGGAGAACCATGGCGACTCCTTGACTCAGCTTCTTTCTCCCAGCATTCTGTTCTGTTTACTCCACCCACCTAAGGGTTGGCCTATCAAGGGGCCTAGGCAGTTTCTTTATTAATAAGAAATCACTCCCACATCTTTTTTTCGTTGTCTTTTTTTAATTCTCAGATGGAGAAAAAGTGGACACAATGTACTAGCTCTCTTTGAGGAGAGTTTTGCAGTTTAAAAAAAATGAAAGAAAAGGAAAGGAAAAGATAATGAGAATTACTGTCATTTTTATTTTACAAATAAAAAGTTACATCTAGCAAGACTACAATTACAGCGAGCCAACACCAGTCATCCAAAATGCAAATATTGCTTGGCTTGTTTAAAGCTTTTAAGTAATAACCCCTAATAACAGAAGTAATGTTTCTGGTTTTATTTTTCTGCTAGATTGAAAAGAAAATCTAGTACTAAATCACTCCTTTGTATAGTGTTTTGAGGAAGGGTGTACTAAGATATGATGATGTTGCTATTTTCTTTATTTCATTGTTTTCTGTGTTGAATAGTTTTTTGAGTGTGTGTAAGAATTCTTAGGACACCGTGCTTTGTATCTGTCAATCCTGCAAGACCATTTGAGGTACTCAGTTTATACATTGACTTTTTAGTAGGTTATGTATTTATCTGTCTCCATAGACAGAATGTGTTAGGACCTCTGGTAACAACAGTTATGTCATCTATAAATGCCAATCCTAAGACTGCAAACAAAACATGCCTATACATGGCTGGTAGTTATCAGATGTCTTCTTTCTTGATCTCGTGGGCTACAGCCTTCAAACTCCTCATGTGTGGTCATTTAGATAAATTGTCCTATTTATATATTGATTCTAAACTTATATATTGTAAGATAGTCTGTTAGGATACTAATCTGAATGCTGAAACTTTTGAACATCAGCATGCTATTACATGTGGAAAATTAAATACTAGATTTTATTTAACAGGTTGCAGGATAGATGCAGGCACACTAAAAGGCTGTGTGTATAAAATGTACAGAAATAAAAGGAATTGTATCTGTCCTGTTCCAGACAAGAATACTCAGTCAATATATAACACACTTTCCCATGTTCCCTTTCCTCAGGAATCAGATGACTGAATTACATAATTTATAGTCTCAGTTCACAGCAAAAAGAATTCCCTGCTAATTGCAAAGTCAGTCCTCATTTTCTCCTTTCTACCTTCCCCTTACATTAAAAAGTCACAGGCCGGGCGGTGGTGGCACACGCCTTTAATCCCAGCACTTGGGAGGCAGAGGCAGGCAGATCTCTGTGAGTTCGAGACCAGCCTGGTCTACAAGAGCTAGTTTCAGGACAGGCTCCAAAAAACCACAGAGAAACCCTGTCTCANAAAAAAAAAAAAAAAAAAAAAAAAAAAAAAAAAAACCAAAACATTAAAAAGTCACTAGAACTAAAATGAAAACTGATGCTAAATCTAAAAGCTTTTCATTGTCCTATATGTTCCCATAGCAGTGGATGGTTCTTAAGGGCCCCAGCACCTCATGGTACCTGTTCCTAGCAATAGCCTTCTTGAAAAGTGTAGAGTCTTAACCCTTCTTAAGCAGCAACCAGTTGATTGGGGTATGACACAAATTCTAATTGGGATTAATAAAAACCCAGAGTCATGCTGGGCAACAGTGGCACATGCCTTTAATCTCAGCACTTGGGAGGCAGAGGCAGGCTGGTATCTATGAATTCTAGCCCAGCCTGGTCAACAGGAGCTAGTGGTTTACAAGAGCTAGTTCCAAGACAGCTACTGTTACATGGAGAAACCCTATGTCATAAAACCAAAAACAAACAAACAAAAAACAGAATCAGATATAGGGGTTAATGCTGACCATCATAGGAACAGAGCAGTCAGATGTAGAGAGTTCTTTCACCACTCAGACCGAAGGGGCGATCCTGTCCTCAGACTGTCTCAGACTGTAGCTCTCTCCACCAAACCTCAGACTTCACTGAGTTGCGGTCTCCTTCCACCTCATATTCCTCTCCACCAGCCTTATCACATCTCTCTCCACCTTCCTAGTGTTGGCATTAAAGGCACTAAGTCCTTTGTATGAGCTGTGTATTTCTCTTCTAGACAGATTCAATCTTGTGTAGCCCAGGGTAGCCTTGAACTAACAGAGATCCCTCTGCCTCTGTCTCCCAAGTCCTGGGATTAAATGTGTATGACAAGACTCCCTGGCCTGTAGTGGTTTAGCTCTGTGTACTCTGATATTTAGGCAAGCTTTATTTGTTAAAACATAAAGAAAGTATCACTACATTGGAGTTTTTGTTCTTTTTTTTTTTTTTTGCTTTAGTTCTTGTTACTTTTTGCAAGCCAGTCCTTTCCAGGTGTCTAGGGGTGGTTTTGGTATCATACACACAGCTTTCGTTTGAGCATTATTCTTTTCTGAGGCAGGTATAGAAATTCTGTCTAGTCTCAGCTTTCTAAATTCAGATCAGTGAAAGAGTAGATAAATCTTATTTGCTTCCTGTTCCTTTCACTTCAAATACCCTCTCAGTGCGAGAGCATTGATGCTATGCTAAGGTCCCAGTGAAAATGTCTGAACTAATTCAGTGAATGTTCTAGAGAAACAGTTGCTCACTTTTCTCAAGTTATCTTTACGCATGCTAAAAGCTGGCTTTCCATTTTAGATTCCCCTGGTATCTTAGGTTGAAGTAGAGGAAGAAGGGGAAGAAATTACTCTTTTCATCTGCCCTTCAGGAAATCTCCTCTGTTCCTAAAGCTCTTGTTTTTGTTTTGTTTTTCTCCCTAGGAGTCCAATGTGTTGATTGCTGCTAACAGCCAGGGTACAATTAAGGTAAGCCATTTCTTACATTCCTCAGTTTAAACTCAGATCCACTTTTTAAACTGCAACTGGCTCTTGGAAATATACAGCTATACTGAGCCTTCATGATTATTCCAAATTAGGGGTTTCGGCACTCAGAAATGACTTAATTGACATTGAAAGAAATAGGTAGCTCACAGCTATGGAGATGATAATGCTTGTTGGGGCTGAGGGCTAGAAGGTTTGATAAATGGTCAAAGAGAAACAGGTGAGGGCTGTTGGGTGTTTACTCTGGGCCTGCACAGCCATACATGGGACATTTAGTAGGACATTTGGCAAGACACGAGTGCCTGTATATTTGCAGCCTTCATCTGTACTTTGTTCTTCCTCATGTTTTTCTTCTTCTCTTCCATAACAAGTAGAGTTTTTTACTACTAAGGTGGGAGTCAGAATAGAGAGGAAATTCTAGTGTTCTGTAATCTGAAAATCTGTGTGCACCCAACAGCATAGTCTGAGTCACAGACTCATAGTGTTCCACATGCTTTCTTTTTTAGTTAATGGTTCAAGGAAATCAAACTTTCATTTGATTATAACTTTTAGTATTTAGCCCTTGGGCATAATGCATTATTTATATAAATAAATGATGAGCTAAGCAGTGAAGTTTTTCTAAACAAAACCTTGTTTTGATGGAAATTTTTATGTATATAAGTTTGGTGCTAACACATACTTTGAGAGAACAGCCTTCTCTTATGTATTCTTTTGGAAATTTTAGAAAGCATTTTTTATGATGTGTGTTATTTTGCCACAACATCCTATTATTCATAAATAAGTAGCTTGAAGCATCCAAGGGAAAAAAAATCCAAACTAATCTCATCCTGTGGAGATGACTGTACAAACTCAAGGCAGAACTGCTTGGTTCAGCTGGTCAGCTGATTCATATGACAGTCGCCTTTTCTAGGCAGGTAGTCTGTTTGGTAATATCTTTCCTAAAGAGGGACCCAGCTCCATTGACAGCTAGGCCTTTGATTGAAATTATTAGTTCCTTTAGGGAGGCCTCAAGCAAGGTGGTAGGTCTTGGAATTTGACTGAAGTCCCTATTCTCTCAGTTTCACATTCTCTTGGCAAGACATGGATTAAAAATAGAACATCTTAATCAGCAGCCATACAGAGCAAGTGGAATTATTAACATCCCTATAATAACTATAAGGCTACAATGGGATCCCGTAGATTCTTAGAACCAAATATTTTTCAGCATTGACCTGTCATATCTAGAGAACCCTAATGTACTACAGAGTGCATACAAAAAGCACTGTAAAGCTCAAGCAGAAGGTGAAGGGTTGCACATTTCAGGTCTTTATGACCTAAAATTACAGTGTCCATGGAACAGTCCTTGACAGTCCCCCAACCACCTTTGTGTTCTCTCTTTCTTAGCCATTTTCTTCCTTGTTTTCCTCACTTTTATTTTTATCACCATAACAGCTTACTTTCATGGCTTGGTAATAATGTAACACTAAAAATCTAACCAAGTTTTTTGATACCAGATGGTTAGCATTGAAGTTGAAAAAAACAACAGGAAAGGCAACATTGATATCCTTTAAAATCTTGATCACTGTTGCTTTAGCATTGACCTAGTGCTCATTAAGGGAAGAAAGAAATATTAAAATCCTTTACAATATTTTTCCTTAAGAATGTATTAAAATACCAAAAGATACTCCAAAGATATTCCGTGCATGCTTCCCCTCACCATTTGTATCCAACAGTTTCACGTAGTTTACTTTAAAGACTTCCTAATTGGTGCAGTAACGAATTTGAAATTTTTCATACAGTGCTTGAATTGAAAGAAGGAATGAGCATCTGGTTCTTTCCAGGTCCTTGGCATTATACCAGTTAGTAGGCATTTGTATTTTCCAGTAGTACATGCAGTAAAGTGTCTTTAAACTTTGGATGTTTTAGAACTCTTCTGTGAAACTCTTCTTTGTGTTTCCCCCATTAGGTGCTAGAATTGGTATAAAGGGTTTCCTGAAGTCAAATTGTGTTTGATCCTCCTGAAAACCATCTGCAGCAGATGATGAGAAAAGAAAGAAATGGCATGTGATGTCTCTCCAAAGTCATCCTGGGTTTTGGATTTGTACTGAGTACTTTTTTTCCTCCTTTTACGCCGTTGGGAATACCCAGAGAATTCTCCGCCATCAGTGTAACTATGAACTTTGCTGTTGGCATTGTGGCTAATTTTTGTGATAGGGAAACAAATTCTTTTAAATAAAAATAAATAAAAAATAATAAAAGTTTATTGAGCCACAGATGAGCTGGGAATGCCTTTGTCAGGTGTGGTGAGAGTCTTTTGAAGAAGTATCCTATCTGGGATGTAGAGAATGTACTGGCTGGGGCAGGAAAGAGGCTTAGTGTAATAAGAGCTGGCTGCTCCTGCAGAAGATCGAGGTTCAGTTCCCCACACCTGCTTAGCACCTCGCAGTTATTTGTAGCTCCAGTGGGAGTTCTGGGTCCTCTTCTGGCCCCCTGGAGTACCAGGTATGCATGTGGTGCACATACAGGCATCTAGGCAAAATGCTCATACATTAAAATGAAAATAAATTTTATTTTAAAAGAAAGAAAAAAAATGTACTGGTGAGTAATTTTAAAGTTGTTTTCTCCAACCTCTTTGGAACCGTGCATATCAACATGAACAAAAGATAAAATGTGTGGATTCTTTCCAGTGAGCTTAATGTTTATAATAAAAAAAGAATTCCTTTCTATACATGAGATTATCATCATCAGATCTTTTGTGTTCCTCCAGATCTGGCCAAAGATATAAGAATTTTGACTTACTGGGCCAGTTATCTTTGGCACCAATAAGCCTTCGATAAAGTGAAGTCAGCTTTTGTTTTAACCAGACCTATCCAGATTGTACTGGCCAAGACTGATCAGTGACCTGTAGCAAGTCAACTGACCTTTTCGGTAAAGGAACATATAGGAAATATTTTAGGCTTGCTGGGCTGTGGTCTCTGCTGTAACTGCTGAGCTAGCTCCACCAGTGCAGCAGGAAAGCAGTCATAGATATGTAGACAAATGAGCACGACTGGAGATGGGTGAAGTTCCAGACTCTGCCTGCAGCTCATTATCTCCAAGCCCCTGACCTGGAATTAAACTTGTGTGCTCTGGGACTCCTAGTTTCCAAGCCATGTGACCTCCTAAATTGTCTAATTAGTTTATAAATCATTTAACATCGCAGAGCATTGGGTCGAGCAAACGTAACATGGAGAGTAGTTAAATCTGAATACTTTTAAGCAGAAATGGTGCAAGCAAATTTTTTCACACATTTCATAAAACACTTGCAGAAAGGTTGGTTGTGTCCCTCAGTTAAAGGTTATTGAGACCTAAGTAAGCTTACATCTTTTTCTCTGTGTATGTATTGAAGCCAAGTGTCTCTTGAAATTTAGAATCTTTCAAATATCAGAAAATTCAGAGAACTCATGAAACGATATTAAATAGCAACCCCAGCAAAACTAAAGCAGTATTTCATGGTCCAGCACACACTTCTGCAGCAAAGCATGCGTGTTCATATTGTATGAGATTGGCTAGGAAAGAGGAAAAAGAATCTTACAGTTTAGGTAAGGTTTTATCTTTAAATGACTTTTCTTCAAACTTAAGTGAAACTTACTAGTTTTCACAGCTTCTAGAGAATTGCATCTTACGTGATTTCTAGAATTTAAAACCTGCTAAACATTTGGCCCCAAGTGTGAGAGAAAGGGCTGCTATCTGGGGGCCAGAGAGACTACTCAGTAATCAGGAGCACTGCTGCTCTTGTGGAGGACCCAAATGTGATTCCGAGAAACCACAGGGCTGCCCACAACTGCTTATAATCCCATTTCCAGGGAATCTGACACGGTGCACGGGCATCCATGCCAGTGAAACACCCACACACATGAATAAATCTTTAAAATTTCAAGTTACCATCTGTCACCAGTGAATGTTGAGATTAATGAATGGCAGCTTGTGGAAATGTAGGGAGAGTGTTCTAAAAGAGATCCTGGTATTAGAGCTACATGTCCTGAAAATCTTTAAAGTAGGAAGTAGTTAATGCCACCTCGAATGAATTCCTTTAAATGTTGTTTTTCCATGCCCACATTTTTAATTGTTCTCCTCAAGCTCTGTTTAGTAGAGTTGGTCATGTTAGTTTCCGTGTTTACAGATACAATATTCTGTTTGGTTATCAAAAGGATTTGTCCTTTTTTTAAATAAATTATTTTAAGCTGGTGCTTTCCTTTTTCTTTACTTTTTTTTTTTTTTAAGGTAGATTACCATATAGCCTAGACCAAACAATTTTGTTCTATAGTCACAAGTCACCTTGAGCTTCTGATCATCCTGCCTCCCTCCTGGGTGCTGGGATATAATCATGTGCCATTCCTCCTACTTTTAAGTGCTGGGGAATACATCCTAAGGCTTTATGCATTTATCAACTGAACTACATCTCCAGCCCCTTCATTTAATTTTTCTTTTTTTTTTTTTTTTTGAAAATCGTAAAGTGTTCTAAATTTGAGTTCGCCTCTGCAGGACATCAAGATCAAAATAATGCTATTCCTTGTAAAAATACAATGCTTAAGTTATGATTAGAGAACATGTGCATTTTTAACAAAATTCCCAAGAAATTGTCAAGGTATGTTTAATTTTCATTTCAGTGGCTTTGTAAGGTTTTTCACAGAGCTTGTCTTTATTCCCAAGCATTTCTGTGGACAGAGAACACCTAAAATGTGAATTACTTTGTAAAGTTCTTGTTAAAAGATTGAGTTAAGTAGTAAAAAAAATGAAGAGACTGAAACCAAATGTGGCACACTCCTGTCATCTTAGCGCGTGGGTGGAGACGACAAGGGCAGAAATTCAGGGTCATCCTCAGCAGCATAGAAATTTCTAGGCCAGCCTGGACTACCTGAAATGAGACTCCTCCATAAACTAGGGTGGGGAAAACCTTGGAACTTAACTACAACTTTTAGATTTATCTTATAGTGGTATATTATTTGTGTTATAATAAAGAGAACTTGTCTGAAGAGCAGTGCCAAGCAGCTAGATGAGGCAATCATACAGGCCAGGCAGTGAGGTGCACAGTTTTGATCCCAGCACTAGCAAGGAATATAAAACGGGAGGAGACAGGGCTCAGTCTCAATCTGAGCACTCATGGAGGGAGGATCGCCCATTTTCAGTCTGAGTGGAGGTAAGAGCCAGTCGCTGGCTGCTTTGCTTTTCAGATCTTCCAGTTGACCCCCAATATCTCTGGGTTTTTATTATTCATGCTACATTATCTTTCTGGATTGTTAGTAGGCAAGGAAGAGAATACAGGATGAGTTTGAATAGAGGAACCCAGTACAGTGGCATTTTTGGGGGCATGTTTGAGAATTTGGATTTTGTTTAAAACAGTTAAAGAGAATGATGTTATCAGATTTATGGCTAATGAATTAGTGAAGGCAAAAAGGAAAATAGTTGAAAGTTAATAGGAGCTTGAATTAAAGATAAAATTAGCCACCTTAGATCCTGCTTCAGCTATATACCAATTGAGGCATACCTCCACTTTAAGTATGATCTGTACATAGTGATTTCCTCCCCATAAGCTTAGGGTTTTGTTTGTTTTGAAAACATAAACTTCAATTTTTTAAGTTTTATTATTAAATTTTATTTGTATGGGTGATTGTCTGCATTTGTGTCTGGAGGCCAGAAGAGGGCATCAGATCCTCTAGAACTGGAGTTAAAGACAGCTGTGAGCCTCCATGTGGACTCTGGGAACCAAAAGTGGGTCCTCCAGAAGAGTAACCAGTGCTCTCAACTGCTAAGCAATTTTTCTGGCCCCAAGAATTTTGAAAGAAACAAAGCAAAAACTATTTTATGTACTCAAAATGTAAATATACTTTGTTTTTATATAACATAAAGAACATTATATTCCAGAAACTTAAGAGTAGGCTAAAATTGAATTGAGCTGCTTCTACATGCTTCTTCTCACAGCCAATATGTCTCATCGGTCTAGGTGGTTGGTGTGTTTCCCAATGTGCATGTGAAGTTTATCCTCGTCTGGACAGTGGGCTGCCAAAGAATAGGGATGGTATTTATTTTCCATCTATCCCTAATTATCCTTTGAGTGGCACATCAGCTAGAAGTCTATGATGGACATAGCAGTTGCTTACAAAACAAGATACAGCCATTTTGCTTCTTGCTTCTGGTGGGTTCCTTCCTCCAATAAAGACCTTAGTGTCTAGTATGTGATATAGTCTGTCCTATGCCAGGAGTCAGGAAATTTGGTAAAGGGCCAGTTATTTTAGACTTTGTGGACTATCTCTACCATAGTTGCTCAGTGTTGCTCTTGTAGCATGTAAAAACATCCCTGGGCAAAACGTAAGCAAACTAATATGGTTGTGTTCCAATAAAATCAGACTGGAATTCATTTCATTATAATGGATCACAGAATTTGTATTTGTCAGACATTAAAATATACAAAACTTACAATCCATACAAAAAGCTAAAAATTGCACTTTGCTTTTGAGCTGAAGCTTACTGACCCCTGTTCTTGGTGCTGACCTCAGAGCAGTGCAGGGGGGGGGGTGTGATTTTCATTGAATGTCTTTATTTTGGGGGAGGGCAAAAATATTCCCATAAAATGGTACTCTTTCCATAATGGGGCATCTCTACCATAGGAAAGCCTCTGTGGGTAATACCATCCAACTAAAAGCTAGTGTGATGTTTAGTTTCCACAGAAGTGCACATATATAGTGTTGGTATCCATTGTTTATGTGTACTTTTTGAGAACCAATGAAGACTCCCTGCTGAAACTTGGTAGGCAGTGAGGTATTTTGTTAGGCGGGTGTTAAAGGCTATGCCCACTAAGATACCTCAGAGTTCGGGGCCTGAGATTGTATTCACTAAAAGCTTCATACATAAGGTGAGGAACCTGTTGAATGTGTAGAAACGGGATATTTTTCAAGGCTGACTTCCTACCCCATCCCCTTTTTTCTCTTGTACTATATTATTGAAATCCCTTTGCTGAGTATAAAATGTTTCTTGAGCTCTTGGCACTTAACAAAGACTTGGAACCTAAAGTTTCTTTGCTATGATCGAGTCTTGTAAATGATTCACACATGTTTCATGGCAGTGTTTAATACGTTACCTAATTTTACAGAGTTAAATTTTAAATCAACTCAACTTTTCCCTTAGTTAACCACTGTTAGATTAGTTCACTTTTCCCCATATTTTACATATAGGAGGTCCAGACTTTGGTAAATATGTATACTTTATTTTTAAATCACCACTTGTACTCTCTGATTCTGCATGGACCAGTCCCAGGAGAGGTCTCGGAGCTCTGTGGCTCCCTGGAAAAAGACAGCTTTCTATTCTTAGTCTAGACTGTGCTGCTTGTATGCGACCGAACTTTAGCGCTTTTCTGTAGTCAGTCATGTGTCTTCTCTTGGAAGGCTGCTGGCAGTTTTAAAAATTAAAAAGGATCCCATGAGCACTGGGCAGCAATAGTACTTGTGTATCAAAACTTGAGCCACTTCAGTTTGTTCTAATGGTGGATAAAGTACAAACCTACTTTTTAAAAGTGGAGTGTCAAAAGTTAAAACTACTCTTCCAGAAGTTTGACCCAGGCTATGAAATGGCTTTATTCATTGTGTCTTAGTTGGGTTTTCTATCACTGTGATTAAAACACCATGACTAAGAGCAACTTGGAGAGTAAAGGATTTATTTCACCTTCTATCTTGTAGTCCATCATCCAGGGAAGGAGTTCAAGGCAAAAATCTGGGGACAGGAGCTAATGCAGAGGCCACAGAAGGGAGCTGCTTACTGCCTTTCTCTCATGACTTGCTCAGACTGCTTTCTTATAGAACCCAGGACCAACTTCCCAGAGTAATGCCACCTACGATGGGCTGGACACTTCCACATTGTCGATCAAGAAAATGTTCCACAGGCTTGTTCATAGGCCAATCTAATGGGGCATTTTTTAAAATTTTTTATTTATTAAAGATTTATGTCTCTTCCCCCACCGCCGCCTCCCATTTTCCCCCTCCTCCAACCAAGTCCCCCTCCCTCATCAACCCAAAGAGCAATCAGGGTTCCCTGCCCTGTGGGAAGTCCAAGGACCACCCACCTTCATCCAGGTCTAGTAAGGGAGTATCCAAACTGCCTAGGCTCCCACAAAGCCAACATGTACAGTAGGATCAAAAACCCAATGCCATTGTTTTTGAGTTCTCAGTAGTCCTCATTGTCCGCTATGTTCAGCGAGTCCAGTTTTATCCCAGGCTTTTTCAGACCCAGGCCAGCTGGCCTTGGTGAGTTCCCCATAGAACATCCCCATTGTCTCAGTGTGTAGCTGCACCCCTCTCGGTCCTGAGTTCCTTGCTCATGCTCTCTCTCCTTGTACTCCTGATTTGGACCTTGAGATTTCAGTCCAGGGCTCTAATGTGGGTCTCTGTCTCTGTCTCCTTTCATCTCCTGATGAAGATTAATATTCAGGAGGATGCCTATATGTTTTTCTTTGGGTTCTCCTTCTTATTTAGCTTCTCTAAGATCATGAATTATAGGCTCATTGCCCTTTATTTATGGCTAGAAACCAAATATGAGTGAGTACATCCCATGTTCCTCTTTTTGGGTCTGGCTTACCTCACTCAGGATGGTGTTTTCTATTTCCATCCATTTGCCTGCAAACTTCCTTGTTTTTTACTGCTGAGTAGTACTCTAATATGTATATATTCCATACTTTTTTCATCCATTCTTCAATTGAAGGGCATCTAGGTTGTTTCCAGGTTCTGGCTATTACAAACAATGCTGCTATGAACAT